CTAGGGGGACAACGCTTTAGCGGACGCCGACGCCGACAACGACAACGACGCCGACACAGACGCCGCCGCCGCCGACACCGCCGACAAATAGTAACCCCTATATGTCACCTTTTCAAGGCGACACAAAAACCCTGTGACCTTGACCTTTGACACAGTCAACTTAAAATCAATAGGGGCCATCTACTGGTCATTAACAACCTCAATACCAAATATGAAGACTGTGAGTCAAAGGAATCTTAAGTTATTGGGCGGAGTCAAAGTCCCTGTGACCATGACCTTTGATCCAGCAACCTCAAAATCAATAGGGGTCATCTTCTAGTCAAGAATAACCTGCATGCCAAATATGAAGACCGTGGGTCAAAGGAATCTTAAGTTATTGGGTGGATAAACTTTTTTATGTCAAGGCCCCTGTGACCTTGACCTTTGACCCAGTGACCTCAAAATCAATAGGAGTCATCTACTAGTCATGACTAACCTCCATGCCAAATATGAAGACTACGGGTCAAAGAAATCTTAAGTTATTGGGAGGACAAGCTTTTGTTAGTCACAGCCCCTGTGACCTTGACCTTTGACCAAGCAACCTCATAATCAATAGGGATTATCTACTAGTCATGACTAACCTGCATGCCAAATATGAAGACTGTGGGTCAAAGGAATCTTAAGTTATTGGGCGGACAAGGAAAAACCGACAGACGGCCGGACAGGGAGACGGACGGGGAGACGTCCGGACGGACAAGCTGATTCCAGTATACCCCCCCTTACAACTTCATTGTGCAGACGGCCGGACAGACAAGCTGATTCCAGTATACCTCCCTTACAACTTTGTTGTGCGGGGGTATAATTATTGTTCTTTTGAAATGTGTATCAATTATTGATCGACAGATAAATATCAACGATACATCGATATTGTCTGAGACTATCAATGACAGCTCTATTGAAATGACAGGGCTGAAAATTAAATAATAAACCTTTTTACAAAACATTTATACAGCATACCCACTCAATTACAAAAGTAAGTAAAATATGTATCCTTTATTTAACTTTTAATGGAGAATTTAATTAGATTTATTTTTTCTACTTTGACATTTGAAGCCATTCTGATTTGTTTACTGAAAAAATAACACTATGCGCCCACTGAGCAGATAACCGACTGGTAGATAGGTCAGAGGGGGACTAAAACTCAATGTGTCAGAACGAATCATAACACTCTTAACACATTATCTTTATAGTAAGTTATATATATATTTCTTAATGAAAATTATTTTACTAGAGATTATGCATCTAGAATGAAAATATATTTGAATTGTCTCCAACAGATTAAAAACCAATAAAAGACAATTATCAGACACCCAGTAAACAAACATTTTTAACATATTTGAGGACACATGGTATAATTTTTCTGTGTTTTTGGACTGTGCATGGCAAATGGCATATTAAAATTTAGTCCATATCCTGATAATTACAATTTACTGGTTTAACTTTCTCTCACAACACTGACTTGCATTTTCTAATTTGCATAATTTCTGCCTAAGACACAAGTTTGACATTATCCAGATACAGATTAATAAATTATTAAACAACCTGTGGCAAAATCAAGAAGTCAAAGGCCACTGAGGCCTGCTTATGGCTTGCCCCGCTTTAATACACAACATGGGTATATTTTAAAGGTACAGAAATAAAATAAAAAAAATAAATTAAAAAAATATACCTATCAGTAAAATTTCCAGTGTCATTTGTCGTTCATGGGTGCCCCAATTTTGAATTAACTTAAATAATAATAATTGGTGAGGTATATATGAAGCAATAGCAATTTTTCATTTCTGCTCATCTGTTTGATTGAAAATGGAAACGTGCATAGAAATACCAAATGACACCTACAGATCAAAACTATGAGAAACAAAATATGGACTGAATAATGCTTTTGTTTGTTTGTTTGTTTGTTTCATTTTATGCCTTTTCCCAACAGTATTTCAGTCATATAGGCGGGTAGTTTCCTTAGACCATCGTTCCTGGAGAGTTACACCAGTACTTGACTACCTTCCTCCGTGCTAAACTACCAAAGCATCTCCCGGGGATCTAATCCACGCCAGAGAGGTAACTGGATTAGAAGTCATCATCTCAAACCCCTCAACCACGGCGGTAATGCAGTTTACGTAGCCCATTATTTTTATGTCTTCCTGAAAAATTTCTCATTTTCTTTTTTCAAGTTTTATGTTTATCAGAAAATGAAATAAGTAATATATTCAATCACTTGAACATTGCTTTTAAAATTAAAACAGATTTTACCAATGTGAAAAAAAAGCTTCAAAATCAAATCCGCAGTTTAACTGTTTATGTGAATATGTCTAAGTATATTTGGACTATCTGTCTTCCCTGTTCTTTAAAAAGGCCTAGGCTTTACCTATTTTCTTTTTAAGTTAAAGATATAAAGAACATCTTTTAACTACTATGCACCCCATTTTTAAATGAAAATCTAATATTCAGTGGGTACATGTACCCTTATTTTCGAAATTGAGTGGGCATGGTGTCAAGAATAATAACGCGAAAATACGTGACGAAAGGATTATCGCTAAATTGTCACGAGATATATGAAGAGTTATATTTAGAGAAAAAGTTGAGACGCAAATATTGAAGTAATTGTTATATTTTCAAGTGTTTCTTGAATTTATACCACTAATTGTGTGATTTATTTCAAATTAATTCATAAAATATAATTTGTTTGTTTACCTGAGTTACTTCCCTTGACGACTCTTCAAGTAAGTTTAAATAGCGGCAACTTTTGAAATCCGCGGATACAAAAGTGCTAACGCGATATGATTTATTTTTCTAGAGTTACAATATGAGAAATGGTCCCTAAAGCTACTATCACATTGAGTTTTCATACTAAAGATTTATTTCTAGGCGAATGAAATGTCTAACACTTAAATCTAAAAAAATCTTGTTATATCACCTGGGACATAAGATCTGGGACATAAGATATCTTATATCTTATGTCCCAGATATCACGGACTGGAACTATTCTATCCAATAACCAATATTAATGATAATATAAAAAAAAACTATTTACTATAAATAAACACGTTTTTTTATATTATATGGGGGTATATTTTGCATATTATCGTTAATATTGATAAAATTTCAAGTTTCTGTGAAAATCTGTGGTTATATCTAGCAGCAGAGACTTTATTACTTTTTATTTAAATATAGCTCTGTGATAGCAGTAGCTATTCAAACTCAACAAAATGTTTACAAAATTATCCTAGATATTTATGAAATATTTTGTTTTCTTTGGGATATAATATGTCCCAGATTGTATAAGAGGTTTTATTGATCAAAACTATGTTGTAGTTCATATCAGTTTTATTATTATTATTTTTTTGTCTTTCTAAGTTTTAAGATTTTTTTTAAGTAATGTACCGGTAGTCGGTTGAGGTAGGTGTCAGTAATTGTGCACAACATGCTTCAAGCTGAACTTGGATACTGGGTGATTTTATTTTGCCAATAGATTGTTCAAATGAATCCCCAATAGATGTCTGTAGGCACAAGAGCACTTACAATGTACCGTAGCCCTAGAAAACATTCTAAATTTCAGCCTACAACAAATGGTTACTTCTCCCAAGTAATGCAAACTCTTGAGTTGAGATGCAACATCAGCTCTGTTACTCTTCTTTATAAAATCCAACACAATCTTGTGAGGGTTGACCATCACCACCTGTCCTGGCACCCAATAGAAAAACCAGAACTACCTGATGTTTACTCAAGGACACAGTATCACTCATATTCATTTTTTCCCATTTGTCTGTAGAATGGTCTACCTGTGTCCTTACAGGCTGGCCTATTTACTTGGCAGCTACATCCTTTCTACCAGTTCTAAGTCAGTATTGTCTCAGACTTGTAGTTTCTTTTAACTTGCTCTTGCCTATCAAATTGCATCTAATATATTTGTTATAATAGCTATTCCCACACAACAAGCTCACGTTATGATATTTAAGCACTATGATGTAGATGTAAAGGCTTATTAATTCATTGAAGCTAGGTTTGGAATGTAAGGATATAGACATGCCAGACACACATTAAATACATGTAATATAATTTCATGTTAATGCACAAGAAAAATCTATCTGATATAATTAACCTCTTGGTGAAATAAGTCACAATGTACTTTCAAACAATTAATACCAAAAATGTATATCCCTGTCAATGTCCTTTTGTAGTATTTAAAAGCTGGAATTAGGAAGACAATTTTAGTGTATCAGTTGAAATATGCCACTTTAAACAGACCGTCAGTATAATAATAATAACAAAGGACATTAAATGTGTTTTCTTATATAAGTTTATAGAACTTATGTAACCCAAAAGCAGGTTCAAACATGACTCCAGTGACATGATCTAAGTAACTTTTGTAGAAGACCACAAAGTGATGCAACATCCCAAATATCTGAGCTTTGGGTATTGTAGTTACTGAGAAGATTTTTTAAAGACCATCATTTTAAGGTATATTTTCAGCTCATGTGACCTACTTATACATCAGACTGGAACCATTTACATAACTTTTGTAGGGGGCCAAAATCTATCATATAATTTGGAAGATGTTCCTCACCTGTATAAGGATGCACACTGGACTAGACATCATGCAATGACAAAAGTTCACCTCTGAGCACAAATTGCTAAAGTGAACTAAAAACAAGCTAAACAACTGGATTTGATTGTCAATTTTATTCATTATTTCTCCTGTATAGGTTTCAATACAATGTATATTAATGGTAAAATAAATGCACCAAAGGACAAGATTACAACCCTGTAACCAAAAAATAAAACAACAAAAACAAAACAGCATGAATCATGTGACCAAAAAGCCTGTCTTTTTTTTCATTGACTTCATTTTTTTATCAACCTTTCATAAACCTTTTGAACTTTAATAAAGCATAAATAGTGCATATTTCATGTCATTTATCATTTATAAAGTCAAACATTACCAGAAAAAATAAGTTGAGTATATATATAAGTAGATGGCTACATTTGATTTGACAATGATCATGTTTTTTCATGAAAAGATATAAAATTATATGCCAAAGAAATTATGGAATGCAGATTTTATCATCTGATAAAACAATTTCTGAAACATTACAATTATAACAATTTTACACTGGCTGAATGGTAACTGTGTTAGGCAGGAACAAGGCTCTGCTGCATTTAATGCTAAACAGTTACCCAAGAGCCAGATATTCCTGTCAGCAATAATAGCCTGTGTTTGATTCTTTTCTTGCATATCACATATAAATTAAACAAGTAGTTGGAAAAATAAAATTGTTCACTTCTTTTTTTCTTATAATATTATATTGTAGCACCAGTAGCTTATAAATTTAAATTGACAACTTCATTCAGAAAATGAGAATGAGTAGAATAACATCATCCTAAGTATAAGACTTATTCAGTTACTGATAAAGGTGCCAGAATGATATCCTTCATGTAAGATGAAATTTTTCAGCACTGGTGAAAACATCAGAAAATCCAGTCTGATAATATGATATAAATATATAAGATAAGTACTTTCCTAAATGTATTATAAAATTGATTATAATCAACTCTGTTTGTGGTAAACAATAACCTGAGATTCTGTCTATAAATAAATGTTCCATAAATGAAATCAATGCAACAAAATATTTAAATATTCCATAGATCAAATCAATTTTGTACATGTATTTTGTTTCTAATTATAATGACATGCTCTTAATGAAAATTTGTGTTATATGGTATAATGGAAAGCTGTATACATGTATCTTACATATACATGTATATATATAACATCTTTAATACCGGTATTCTCTTTATTTTAAAAATAACTATTAAATTTTGATTTAATGCCAAGTGTAATCTCACAATTACATAATGACTTCAAGCAGTAGATTTATACCCAAATTATTACATTATTACAGGTACACATTACAGGTACAAAAACACCTGTAATCTGATTGGATAGGTCTTAACATTAACCAAGAATAAAATTTACAGAGGTCAAGGGCAATGGGCCTAACTCCCAGTGTTTACAGTTTTATGTAAATTGGCTGAATGACTATCCAATAGCTACACTGGGATAAAATAATCATTGCTTGACCTTGGTTACATGCAAAAGCAGTTAAAAAAAACACACATAGATTAGTTTGTGATACTGTTAGTAATCAGTTGACTAAGTTACGAATAGGAAAAGTTTTTCACTGCTAAACAGTGTACAGCTAATTAAAGACCAACTTAGTTATAAACTTAAGTAACATATAAGTAGTGAGCTGGGAATGAAATATTTACATCAAACTAAATATGTTGTAAAACACTTTTGATAAAAATGTAAATGTAAAACATTCAAAATTAACAAAAAGAAAATGCAAATTCACATAAAATGCAAATTCACGTAAAATAAAATTGAGACTTGAAAATTAAACAAAAAACAACCTTTATTCCGTACACTTTCAAATGACCAGAAATTTTCCCGTATCCAAATTATACTATATATTAAATAAAGCACCTTCTTATGGTATCACAATTCAATGGAATATGTATGTAAGGCACAATAGTGTCAAGTTTAGTCCCAACTATTATAATCACATTATCACAATTTGTTACTTTGGTCCCAACATTTGCTCTGGTTTCACCCAGCTATCAAACTGTTCATCTGTTAAATATCCTAATTTCAAAGCTGCAGCTTTCAGAGTGGTCCCATCTTTATGTGCAGTTTTGGCTATTTCAGCTGCCTTGTCGTACCCTATATGAGGATTTAAAGCTGTGACGAGCATCAGTGACTCATTGAGCAATCTTCCTATAACATCTCGATTAGCTTTTATACCATTCACACAGTTCTTAGTGAATGACACACTAGAATCAGCCAGTAGACGTACAGATTGAAGTACATTACTGACCATCATTGGTTTGAAGCAGTTCAGTTCAAAATGGCCATTACTTCCACCTATTGTCACAGCCACATGATTTCCCATCACCTGAGCTGACACCATGGTAATAGCTTCACACTGTGTAGGATTCACCTTCCCTGTAATACAGATAGTAATATTTCAAGAACACATTGTATTTGTACTGTCCTCAATAAACTTTTTGGGGTTTTTATTGTTTTTTTTTAAGGAGAAGAAAAGTATGATTATAAATTTCACTTTATTATTGAAATCAAAAGTTATTTTCCTCTTTTACCTGAAATTTAAGCAAATTATCTAAACTGCAATATATGTAATCAAATCTAATATCTTCATTTCAAACGGAAAATGAATAAAATACCTGGCATGATACTGCTTCCTGGTTCATTCTCTGGCAGACTTAGTTCACCTAGTCCACACCTGGGTCCAGAACCCAGGAACCGTATATCATTGGCAATTTTCATAATGCTTGTAGCCACCACATTTAAGGCACCATGGACTTCTAACATAGCATCATGGGCAGCAAGAGATTCAAACTTGTTTGGGGCAGTTACAAACGGTATATCTGCAGAACAAAAATATGAAAGATATTGTATTAGACTAATTTTGATGAAAAGTGACAAAGACTCTGAACATTATAGAGCAAAGTTTGATTAAACTCTTGGATGGGCATAATGTAATTTTGAGTGAAAACAAAAAATGAAGTGAAACAATATCAATATTTTGTACACCTTTTATGGTCAGAGAGAAAGGAAAAATGTACCTGTGTATTTTGCTACTTCTGCTGCTATTTTTTCAGCAAATCCTATTCTAGTATTCAAGCCAGTGCCAACTGCAGTACCCCCTGAAATACATGTAAGTAAATAATCCCTACTTGTTTAAATCAAAACTTATGATGACATGTTTCATGAAAACTGTAGAAAAAATAACACCTTTCAAACCTACTTTGCATTACATTTCCACAACTGGATCCATCAGCATAAAACATATTAGTCAGATATAAATCAGCATCATATCAATATGTTGATGTTAAACTAGTCAAATCTGCAAATTTAGTTGTTTTTTTTTAAACTTTCCTAATAAAACATGAAAGAAATAATGCTTTAAAATAGTTATTAGTAGACAGACAATATATTTGTATAAACAATTATATATGTAATACAAATGTACTCTAAAAATATTTTAGTAAAGAACACAAACACACATATGCAGCACTAATATGCAATTTCACTTGTTTCAGTTTTAAGTTACACAGACAATGAAAAGATCATATGCAACTTTCCAGCTTTACTGGTGGAGGAATTAATCAGATGCAACTCCATGCACTATCTCAGTCACAAGGATGGAGTTGGATATAAGTTAGGTGGTTGGCTTCCTCATATAAAATAATTCATAGTCCCTAACTTGAATCCAATCTGGCAATGGTAATGATATCTCAGATTCAAAGTAAGTGAGCTGCACCACTTAGTTATAGACTGATGCATGACTGAGTGGTTAACGAGTTGGACTAGTAATGTAAGGATTTCTAGCCACATCTGTTGAAACCCTGTTAGGGAAAAGCCATTGTTTCCTTGAGCAAATAAATTTACACTCATTTCTCAGTACTGGTTGGTTCAAGGAATGGATTTGAGAGTGTGTCTATAAGCTTATTGTTTCCTACACAATCATACTAAAATAAATTCTGTTTAAACTAAATATTATCAACATCAAGTATATACAAGGAAAACCTTACCAGCAGCCAGTTGATAAAGTCTAGGTAGTGTAGTCTTCACTCTGTCTATACCATTTATTATCTGTTGTACATAACCACTAAACTCCTGACCTAATGTCAATGGGGTAGCATCCTAAATTATTAAATCATTGTGTAAGAATGAAAATGCTCACAGCTACATTTAAATTGATCTTTCAAGATGGGTTTTCATTTATATAACAAAGAAAAAAATTACAGCATAGTAAGACAATATTTGTTGGACAGAGACAAAAAGCCCCAAAGCTGGGCCATGTAAAGGAACCATGACCTTTAATTTTCAACGAATGCCAATGGATACCAAAATAAGGAGTGTTACAAGAATAAAGAAACATTAACAAACACTTTCTTATATTCTCTGCATGCCCAATTATTTCAACTTTTATCACTTATCTATCTCTTCATTTCTGTATTAAGGTGGCTAAGATATATTATACAATTACATTATAATACCTGTGTATGAGTTCTCCCTATTTTCACAAGGTCTTTAAACTCTTCACATTTTGATTTTAAAGCATCATGTAACATCTGTAACCCTGGTAACAACCTCTCATGTATCTCCATAGCAACTGCTATATGCATTGCTGTTGGGAATGTATCATTAGAACTCTAAAGATTAAAAGAGATCTGTTAACATCATTGTAATGTAATAAGTTTACAGCTTTAGTGTACTCAAAACCTGGAAATTATGCTATTTTTATGATTTATTGTCAGTCTAACTTGTACATTTATGCCAGCTCAGCTCATGACCGATAGTTAGCAACATTTAACCGGCTTGAGTAGAAAATGCTTACAACAGGAATGTTGACGGTCATTTATTTAAATAAGCCTAATGCTGAATAAACAAATAATTGCAGTCAACAGTTAATGGCAAATTTAATACATGTATATACTGGCATTGTTACCTGGCTCATGTTAACATGATCATTGGGGTGTACAGGTGATTTACTGCCCAGTTTTCCTCCTAGTATCTCTATAGCCCTGTTACTGAGTACCTCATTCATGTTCATATTACTCTGGGTACCTGAGCCGGTCTGCCAGATAACAAGTGGAAAATGTTCATTTAGTCCTCCCTTCAATACCTTAAATATAAAATTTTAAACATCAAATAAAACGTGTACTGTGTCTAACTATACTTAATCAAAATGTTTAAAAGCTTGATGTAAAAAATATTTTACAATATTCCAGTTTCATATTTGACAGCATGGCAATCTAAAAGGTGGGGATTTCATAGAACAATTAAAAGCAAGTAGAAAAAAATCTATTCACAAAATCTTTTTTCTAAATGAAAACTAAAATATTTTTGTGCAGGATTATAAACATTAAAAGCATATGGATGTTGTTTTACTATCATCAATGGTATTAACTTCTAAAAGCAAGGGTCAATGTAACAAATCAGAAAGTGTGTTATTACACTGCCTATTTAACAAAAATGCTATTTAAATTTTTTTAGAATTTTGCGTGCAACACTCCATGTCCCTTCACCTTTGACTATAAACACTTGCTCATCTGAATGTAAACATAGTGATCTTGATAAAGATTAACAATATTGTTTCAAAAGTGACAACCTCAAAGGGCATTTTCAATAGGCTAGCAAAACAATTTATTTTTAAATAGTGGCCTCATATGAGAGATTAGCAACATAAAGAACATTTAGTTGGACAAATTAAGGCCAGAAAAAAACCCAAATATATACAGTTTTTCTTCATCACAACCCAAATATGAGACATATTCTTTAGTATATGGATGTCTGGATGATACTTGGCCACAAACATAACAAATACAGTAACATGAGCCAACCTCAATTTCTTCTGTGAAGAATAATATAGAACGAGTCAAGCCCTTCCTTGACTAAAGCTACCAGTATCCTCAATGAAAAGGCAAAACAAAATAAAATATGTTCTATATCATTTGCTTTCTGTGTATCAAAATTAAAGTCGTCACAAAAATTGACTTGCATACATATTAAGTATCATTCAGTGAATTACTAAATTCAAAATGTATTGGTCAACTTTTGGCATATAATAACCTTTAAAGTCATGAATGGTGACATGTCTGGGGTTTGTACTCTCAGTGCCAGAAAGGGCATGACCCTCATTACGCACAGAATACATGTACACACAAACATACAAACACACACATACAGAACATTCTATACATTTTTGATTCTATAAACAGCAATTTAACTGTTATTAAAATATGCAGTGCAAAGCTAGTGACAACAACAGGAAATTTAACATGACCCACTGCCTAGCAGGGGCCATACTCAACTTATTCTTATTTCTTAAGTCAAATGCATCGGAGGAAGATGTTGTAGTAACTAGTAAAGAATACTCCTAAGAAAGTTATTTCCATGTACAAAATATAACTCAAATTTCACATTTGACCTTGATGGTCAAAGTCAACTAAAGGTCAAGGTCACAACTGTATAATCATCATTCAGTTTTGTCATATGTGTTCTTTTGTCCAAGAATGTATCAAAACCATAAATAACAAATATATGACAATGTAAGCAAAGTTCAATAATTTGACCTTAAAAGGTCAATTAAAAATCAGTGCCATATCAGAATATTTTAACATTTTGGATTTGCATTTTAATTTATTTATTTATTTATTTTTATTTTTTTTTGACAATTTAAGAAATTTCAATAATTTGACCTAGGCAATGTCAATTAAAGGTTAAGGTTAGTTTTGAATTATTTTATAATAACTGATTTTAACATACTGGTTACTTTGTCCCAATTATAAATCAAATCAGTAAATAAATAACAAAATCAGTAAATAAATAACAAATTAATAACAATTTAAGCAAATTTTAATAATTTGACTATCAAAGTTAAATAAATGTCAAGGTCATCTCTGAATTATTCAACATATGGGTTTCGCCATAAGGGTTTCTTTCTCCCAGTATGAATTAAATCTGTAAAAAATAACAAAGATATGACAATCTAAGTCACCTGAATTCAATATTTGACCTTAACAGTCAAGGTCATTTATAGGTCAAGGTCATATTTGAAAAATTGCAACTAAGGATAACCTGATGAAGTATATAGTACCCAAAACCGGTAGTTAAAATAAATATAGAAACCGACCTGGTGTTTTGATGTGTTGTTCTCCCCTCCCAATCTTTAATTTATTGTTAATTGCAACTTATGTCAGTTTTGTTATCTTGTCCAAGCATAAATCAAATCCATAAATAAATAAATAAATAACATATGGCCAATTGTAGCAAAATTCCAAAATTTGACCTTTAATGTCAAGGTCAAATTAAGGCTAAGGTCAAGACTCAAGTTCAATTAAATGTTCTTTAAAGTCTTGTCCCAAGCATGAAGACAACAATTCATTACTTACAAAGTTACAGCCAATTATAGCAAAAAGAACAGTGAAATTACATTAATTTGACCCTCAAGGTCAAAATTATTTATTAGTCAAGATCAAATTGAGTATGATCTCCTTAAAGACATTGTCTTTAGGGTTGTTAGATTAAACTATAAAGACAATCCAATTTTAGACTAATTTAAGCAAAAAAAAACAAGCAAAATTCAATTAAATGTACAGGTCATTGATTAGTGAAGGTAAATATTAATTTTAACTACTTGAAGGTCTTGTCCAAAGGAATATTGTGTCCAAGTATGAAGACAATCCATTTATAAATAATAAAGTTATAGCCAATGATATCATACAGTCAAGCCAAAGTTAAACATTTACCTTGACGGTCAAGATCATTATGAATCAAGATCATGACCAGTCTGGTCTTCTTGAAGGCCTTGCCCAAAAGGTTTTTGTGTTCAAGAATGATAAAGTTTCTGGGCAGCAATGGGAAGGGGAATGACAAGCAAACTGTAGCTATAGCTCGGAATTTTTCTTTGAAAAAGTCAAGCTAACAAATAAGGAGAAGTATATACTATTCCTGAAGAAAATAGCAAAACATACTTGATTGTCTATAAGTGCATAGTTATTTATAAATATTACTCTACAGGATATCTTTATTGACTAGCAACAAGTGTAAACCATACCTAAAAAAACTCCGTAACTACAGTAAATATAGCTCCTAAGATACATGTACTGAAGTATAGAGAAACATAAAGTTAACAAAACCATTCTAAAAGGTATGCAAATATTTGTATACAATCTATATTTTCAACTGCCAATTTTTTATTATTTATGGTAGAAATCTAAAGATTACTTACAGTTAACCAATTACTTATTCTTGTAAATGAAAAACAAATCAATATATGAAAAAGACACACCAACAAAGAAGCATATGCTAGTGTAAGCTATTAACAGAGATCTCTATAACACTAGCTAGGTCATTACCTCCTCTGCTGCCTCTTGAATGGCTTTAGATAGATCTCGTTTTAAACCAAATTCTTCATTTACTCTAGCAGCACAACACTTCAGAATAGCTAGAGCCTTTATCACTGGTATCTATAAAAATCATCATTATAATTATCAATAAACAAGCTACCTGCTTTAACATTTCATGCTGTTATAAAATCTTCTATACAACATATATATTATTATAACAAAACAGATATCAAATAGCTATATTAATTATGTAACACATGTTAGTGTATTTTGTCTTCACTTTATTTAGTTTATACAAAATTTATCATGGTTTGAATGTATAGGAAGCAAAAATAACTACAATGTCTAAGGCAGATAATTAAATGGAAAAAAACACAATATACATTGATATGCAAATCTCTAAAAATAAAATAAAGAGCGAAACAAAAAATCTATTTCAAATTTTGATGTTTTTTTTAACTTACTGGCATCTGCTCTGATGGACCACCAATGTCGAAATTTATCAATGACCGAGCTGTGTTAGCACCATAGTATTTGTTAGCTGGAACCTGTATCTCTCCAAAACTATCAGTTTCTATGCGATACATACCAGCATCACCTAGCCCTGTCTGCATATTGAAAAATAAATATAAGGTATACTGACTGACAAACATTGTGCTTGAGGGTACTTCTGTGTAAAATTTTGAAACATGTCTTTTACTATAGTCTTTTGGTTGATTATCAAAGGTGTTGTAACATAGAATGTTTCTGTGATTTATATAAATACTGTATGTGTCACGGTTCAGAACTGTTCACTATTTAGGGGAGAAGATGTGAATGTGTCTGGATAGTTCAGTAATGATGTACAGAATGGTATCCCGAGAGTGTCAGGTTCGAGTCCCGGTCAGGCTGCACATTTTTCTCACCCTGTGATATCTGTTAACAGAATGAAATGTTCCAGATTTACTCTATTTCATAATTCAACCAAATATTTTGTAAACTACAGGCTGCAGAGATCGATAAAGCATTTGTAAGGGGGAAAAAAGTTTTTTTTATTTAAAAATAATCTTCTCAGAGTGATTAACATATTTTTTTCTTAAAAATCTGGAACCAAAGTGATCCCTCGGAAGCATTAATCAGAACAAAATCACCTAAGAATTGCAGACTCGGTTTGATTGAGTCTGTACATGACGGATAATGAATAAGTGCAACATCCCTCATGCCCCCTAGCACCGGCTTGAGCGGTACTCAATTCTCAACACTTAATAGTGCTGGCATCAATGATCCCGAAGGACCAGAAAAATATAACAACACAGAAGTGAAGTACGGGGCAACTTTTTACAGCTGCCACACGGCACTTGACACCTGCTGTTGTGAAGAATTCTTTTTTAGTAAATGAAGTTTGGCTCATTCAGACAATCAAATTCTATAAAAACAAGAGGGCCATGATGGCCCTGAAGTCGCTCACCTGTATAGAGGCCCCCAGAGCGGGGCCAGTTTAAACCCCAGGGGTTTTATTTGAACAAACTTGGTAGACACCCAGTAGAATATGTTTCATGCTAAACATCTAAGGTCTAGCTCGTTGGGTTTTTTAAAAGAAGATTTTTTTCAAGTTTTTTCTTTACACATATAATTAAAAACAATGACACACCTGGGGCAGGGCCATTTTTGACCCCAGGGCTTTTATTTGAATAATCTTTGTAGACACTTACTAGAAAATGTTTCATGCTTAATATCTAAACTCTAGCTATTCGGGTTTTTTCAAAGAAGATTTTTAAGTTTTTGCTATACACATAAAAAAAAATAAAACGAAAATGATCAATGTCCCCCGGGGCGGGGCCAATTTTGACCCCAGGGCTTTTATTTGAACAAACTTTGTAGATACTCACTAGAAGATGGTTCGTGCTTAAAGGGGCAACATTCGCTGCCGCGGCAGCGAATATTTGTGGGTGTGACTAATCAGTGATGTAAAACTGTCTGTTATAAACCCTGAACTATAAATAGCATGCAGTGTTAACCTGCAGAGAGAATGTAAACAAAAACAGCTGATTTTACACAGGAGAGGTTTAATGAATGTTTTATATAACTCAAAGATTAATTAAAGACATTATCAAGTCATCTTGTCCAGATATTATTTTTGAAGTTGTTTTCTTTTTTTTTCAATGGATTCATCAAGTCAGACAATTATATAAAAATCCAAAAGATGTGCCTTACATGGGGCATTTCTTTTAGGAACAACCTGCTAAAAATGTTCTTGACAGGAATTTAAAATATTTTTAAACTGTTAATGTATAAAAATTTTATGCATATGCAACATTTAGTTTGATTTGTGAAATGTAATTTTTGACTACAAGATATTTACAGCAAAATACAGTGTAAATGAAATATACCTAGAAGTTACTTTTACTGTAACCATTTAAATACAAGTTAAATTAGTACTTTGAAATTTAAAAAAAAATCATAGATTAATGGATCATTGTAAATTTGTTGGATTTGATAAAGCAAGTCAGTAAAAGTTATTGTTTTATTCAGCATTTCAATGTGTTGTCTGCTGAAAATCTCCCTCCCTGAAATATACATTGTCTGCTACAAATCTCTCTCCCTGAAATAAACACTGCCACGTGCTTCTGTTTACTACTGAAGGTTCATGACCTGTAATGATCAAATGGCTCCTCCCAGGGAAATGCAAATTTCAAATTTGACAGCCAGTATTTTTTTCCAGAAGTACACTTAAAAAAGTTATATTTTGAATAATTTTGGTCAATCTTTATCAAAAATATCTATGCCTACAAACATGCCAAGTGTTGTTTTAATGCATTTGGTAATTAATTTTAAATCTTTGAAAAAGGGTCCCTGAAGTGAAGCATGCATAAAATTAATAAGAAACCTGCCCTAGCGCCATCTGCTGGCTTTTATAGTCCAGTTGGGCCTTTAATATCTAAACTCTAGCTATTTGAGTTTTTTTCAAAGAAATTATTTAAGTTTTTGCTATACACATATTAGGAAAATCAATGACCCTGGGGCGGGGCCAATTTTGTCCCCAGGGCTCTTATTTGAACAAACTTGGTAGACATCCATTAGAACATGTTTCATGCTAAATATCTTAGCTCTAGCTCTTTGGGTTCTTTAAAAGAAGAATTTTTAAGTTTTTACTATATGCATATCAGGAAAATCAATGACCCCCTGGGGCGGGGCCAATTTTGACCCCAGGGCTTTTATTTGAACAAACTTGGTAGACACCCATTAGAAGATGTTTCATGCTAAACATCTTAGCTCTAGCTCTTTGCGTTCTTGAAAAGAAGATTTTTTAAGTTTTTACTATATGTATAAAGGGAAAATCAATGACCCCCTGGGTGAGGCTAATTTTGACCCCAGGGCTTTTATTTGAACAAACTTGGTAGACACTCACTAGCAGATGTTTCATGCCAAATATGTAAGCTCTAGCTCTTTAGGTTTTTTAGAAGAATATATTTAAAGTTTTTTCTTTCAGTTGCCATGACAACCAGAGTTCTGCATGGAATTAAATTCTTTGAACAATTTTCAAAGGTGACCACCAAAGGAACATTCCTGTGAAGTTTGGATGAAATTGACCTAGTGGTTTATGAGGAGATGTCATTTAAAGTAAAAGTTTACGGACGACGGACGGACGAAAAGCGATCACAAAAGCTCACCCTGTCACTTTGTGACAGGTGAGCTAAAAAATAAAAAAAGTAATTACTGAATGTTCGTGTTTGTGTGGTTTGTCTGTTTCCATAAAAAATAAGGAAACTTTCGTGGTACGAGCTAAATAAGGTGCGAATTGAAAAATCTATCGCGAAAACTAATAACTTTCAATTATTTGCTTTAGAAAATTGTACGTATTTAACACATATAGCTTGTTATGTTTCTCCATACATCATGGTAGTAAATAAAAATAAAACATACAACTGACATGCTGTGATTCTGTCAGGAAAATGATTAAAAATTTACGATGCCCTTCAGGAACTCTTCTTTGAAGATAAAAATAGTGTCTCACATGATTATCATTTCTATTTCCGGTAATTTTTAAAGAAACGTCAAAATGTCATCAGATAGATTAAATGTGTTTCCAAGTCGTATGTAAGTTTAATGATGAAACTTTTTGTTTGCTATATTGTATCATCAACCAAGTAGAGTGCTTTATTTGTCTAGATTCAAATAATTAAATTATTCAGGACTGAGCTTTAACTTGAGCTTTCTACTGTCTACTCAACCCTGGGTTCAATAAATTTTATGTATTGTAATTTTGTTTTTTTGTAATATGGAAGAAGAAATAAATGTTGTTTAAACCAAAGAATTTAATGGAAGCTTAGTTCGACAAACCTTAACCCTATAGGTGTTTCAAGTTTAAAACTCCTTTGCATCTGAGACATGCATCCCCATTTTGTTCTTGAGCCTGGACTGCTAAATTAGAATCTATACCAACTACCCACTGGATAAGCACTCAAAATAAATAGACTTGTCAAAGAGACATCAAGAGAATTTTGGACGGGCGATGGCTTTTTCTTACGATTTGACAATATGAAAAAACAGTCTGTCAAACAGGTCTAATACTTCAAGCCAAATTAATTAGATTAGGCGCCTCAGTGAATTGATAAGCATAGTGTTTACATAACATAATAATGTTGTAACAAAATGTATAAAAAAATACATTATAATATATGAATAAAGATGCCATGTAAAGACAATTTAGGTACAAACAGACTGTTGAGATAATATGAAATTAAACAAATCCTATGGCTATGAACAGGGAAGTTGATAAAAATAATTGTTCATTGGTTATTTTCAGTTTTAAAGGTTTCATTCGTTATTTCATGCACCCCTTTAATAGGAACAACTCGAAGATAACTATTAAGCCAAAAAGTTGTGTTTTTGTTGTTGTCAGAATACCCCGCCTTTTTATATCATTCAACATTGAGTTACATTGAAAATGTCAGCGCCCAACTAGATACACTGAAAATTTCATTGATAGATTTTTTTATTGTTTTTTGTTTGATTTCCTTTTGAATATTCATGTGTAGTCTATAGGCGCCTGGCAAGCCAAAGCTTTGCAGTTGTGGTCTTTGACTTCCCCATATTATGCTTGTTAGTTTATATTTCAGTTATAAACACCATTTACTATGTACTAAAAAGAAAAACCCTTTTTTTCCAAATATTTTATCAACATATAGCGGCGAATTTGACTGATTGGATGAAAAGATACTGCAGCACTAATCTCCAGTTGTTGGTCACATTATATTATGTTACTCCTGTATGTTAAAAGACTTGAAGTCATGTTATGATTGTGAATGTATGATTGTGTCTGGTTGTTATCTTTGTCATTCGTAGATGAATTTTGAAATTATGAACTTTTATTATTTGGCTCATGTTTCAAACAGGAGACCCACATTTGTAGCTCAAAGGTCAAGGTCACGCTCAACTTGAAAGGACATTTTGCATAAAAATGCATTACAGTATTTACTGTGCATTTCTAGTCAATAGCTGATTCATACCTGGATGGGTTTTAAAATAATTTTCATGTGAAATGATAATAAAGGACAGAAGGTTGAAGTCATCGAAGATGTGTAGAAATCTGTTTGAACACGCAGACTCCAAAAGTCATTAAAATTTAAGAGTCTACTGAGGTTTTTTTTACATAAATAACTTAAAATATTTAAAGGAAAATGGTTTAAATTTTAATTGGTTTTAACTAAAATCTGGCAAAGAATTGCATAAAGAATTATGAGTGAGTATTTTTATAATAGTTTGCATATTTTCCATTTTTGTATTACAGTTGGTCTATGTAACTAAGGATTTCAAATTTTTATGTTTTAAGACTTTTGAACCTCAATGGAGTTCCTTTAAGGTCTAGAAACAAGCCCAAGAGAATTGAAATAGGCTGATTCCTGTTACTATCACTTATTAAGTACATATTCTGATAATCAGTTTGGATGATGCATACTAACTGTATACAATATTGATTATTTTTCCAGGGCTATGGCAAACATGAAGCAGAGGTTGAAGGGAGCTCAGAAAGGTCATAGTTTACTGAAGAAAAAAGCTGATGCATTAACTATGAGATTCCGACAGATTCTAAAAAAAATTATAGAGGTAAACTTAACTCTGTAACTGTAGACACAGTCACACTGATGAGCTTTGTTTAAAATGACCTTTTCACAGAGCAAGCTTATGGTGATCTTTTGACAGTATTAATTGACATGACGTGTGTTGTTCATTGTATGACAATATGTCAAAGAAATTTAAGGATTCTGCCTTAATACAGCAACATTTCATAGTGACACAAGAACCATGCATAAGATTTTTTCAAACTTTGGGAAACACATTTATATTTAAATCTCAAACAAAAGATACAAAAATTAAATTTATTGCCTTAAACCAAAAAACATTTGTCAGAAAATTTTAATAGGTTGTTGTCTTAAACAGAATAAATATAATAGTCTTAAGCTTCTTTTCTAACTTGAATGATATTACATAAATTTGTCAGTAATTTTATTTGTTCTATAATTTTGTTATTATGGTTGTTTTTGTTGTTATAGACAAAGATGAAGATGGGGGATGTTATGAAGGAATCAGTTTTCTCACTAGCAGAGGCCAAGTTTACCTCAGGAGACTTCAATCATGCTGTTCTACAAAATGTCAACAAAGCTCAGCTGAAAGTACGATCAAAGAAGGACAATGTTGCAGGTTAGATTATGTTTTAACTTTATTTTTATGATGTGACAGTTAAAGGTGAAAGTTGACTGTACATGTACACATATTATAGCTTTATATAGATTCCTCTCAATTGCTATAAAGCCTTCTTAATTAGCACAGTATAGAGAGCATAACACTTTAACTGAAAGTTCTGAGTTTTGTACATGTTTATACATGATTATTTGTTTGCCTAAAACAAGATCATATTGTAGTCCAAGAAAATGTCAATTACGACTTGGAAAAATAAATCAATACTGGTACATCATCCAGGAACAGCCTGTAGATATTTGACTGAAATACTGATTTTATTGGTGTCTAGCTCAACTAAAGAAATAACCAATATCACTGAATGTCAAAATCACAAATAGAAGACTGATGATGATGCAGTTTAGAAGAAGGTTCAAACATGTAGTTTACCTTTAATGATAACTTATAAGAAACTATAATTCACAAGAAATTTTGCATTCTTGTTAAGTGCTTCTGTTGATCAGTGTCAACTTTTTTGATTTGTACATTGTTGGTATACAAGGTTTATTTTCATTACAGGTGTACAGCTACCTGTATTTGAACATTTCACAGATGGTGTTGACAGTAAGTTTCAATTAGTCACTCCAAAAGTGAACTATGTATATTTTAAACCTAATTAGATTACATTTTCTTGGCTGTATACATGTATATAAAAGGATGTTTAATGATTTTAGAGGGACTTGTATTCTTCTAAGGATATAACATTTGTTCTTCTTTTCTTTTGTAAGTTTGATACCTACAATGTTTGCTTTGTATATAGTCAATTTGAGTACCAGTGACTTTGTAACATACACTATAGAAATTTGTATGTTCATGTTATCAGCTTCTAACTGATTCTGTTTTGAACCTTTCACAGGTTCTTCTCAATTCAATTTATTTCGTGATGTAGGCCAGACGCCACCACTGGCCTCAACACATCAATGTTCAATACAAAAAACAATTGGTTTGTACACAAGAAGTACATTTGAGAAAAATAAGAAAGATGTAATCATACTACATGTAAATTGTTATGCTGTTAACATGTATGTAAGATGTCAACAAAATGATTGATATTTAAATTCTTAATTGATATTTTCTTATTTCAGGCTATGAGTTGACAGGTTTGTCTAGAGGTGGTCAACAAATTGATAAGTTAAAGAAGAACTATGCTAAAGCAGTAGAACTGCTTGTACAGCTAGCATCTTTACAAACTTCCTTTGTTACACTAGATGAAGTCATCAAAATCACAAATAGAAGAGTGAATGCCATAGAACATGGTACATAACTTTAATATACACAACATAAGTGTATTCATACTTGCTAATTTTGAAAGTTATTTATTTTACATAAATGTTTTCAAGGTCTGCTTGAACTGTATTGTACAGATTAAATAGAACTAACAATTAAACTAGTATTGATTTATTGTTACTGAAGCTTTTTATGATCATTTATTATTGTGAAGTGAACAAAGAAAGTAATTTACATGTTGCAAAGAGCACTTAAAATCCGCGTAAATTACCAAAAAAGGTCAAAATATGCAAAAAGGCATTTACTGTGGTAGTCCACAGTAGGAATATGGTGATAAATAATGCATAATCAGTCATTAAGCACGGAAAACATTATTAAAAAATTATTACTTTAATCAATTTTACTTCTCTTAAAATCTAAGTATATTTTTCTAAAGTTTGATTTTTCTTGAAATATTTTGGCTCATCTGGAGGCATGCAGCTTTTAATTTCAGTGTCACATTAATTATATTCTGCTCACTTGAAAAACAAAATGAGAATTGTCAGCTGTCATTTGTTTCAATATAAGGTCTGACACATTCAAGTTCATTGCTTCTACTGAAATTCTGATATTTTCTGCTAAATCTTGCTAAGCTATGTTGATGATTACTTACCATGCATTATCATTGAGATTTCAACTTATAATTCTAATCATTTTGTTAGTGGATTAATTGATCTTTAGAAATTTGTTTATGAGAACAAAATTCCAATTTTAGACCAACTAACATCATATAAATTAATTGTTATTCAAGCCTAATTGTCTGTTTCAGTGATCATTCCAAGAATAGAGAACACTATATCTTATATCACAACTGAATTAGATGAGAGAGAAAGAGAAGAATTCTTTAGGTATGTCATCTTTCATATGTTGTTTTTTCCTTTATTTCCTTTATTAACTAAGATAAAACATTTTTCCGACAAGTTTCTTGATAAGCTCTCTTCCGTAATTGAAAGATTATTATTTATCATTCCAACAAATTTACATTTAGGCGTATTCTGCCCCGCCTTTGCGGTGCTCTTGTTTTCCTATGTAATGATTAGCATGCAGTTTCAAGGTGATAACAGTTTTGAAAATTAAACAAAATTCGTTCATTGTCATCACTCTTAAATAGATCTTGGTATTTACCATGTACCTGTAAAAATAAATGAGCCGGCGTCATGACAAAACCAGCATAATGCGCTTGCGACCAGCATGAATCCAGACCAGACTGCACATCTGCACAGATTGATCAGAATCCATGCTGTTCGCTTACAAACCCTATTACAAGTAGAGAAACTGATGCGTGGATGCCCAAGCTGGTCTGGATCCATGCTGGTCGCAAATGCACTCTGTTGGTTTTGTCATGGCGTGGCTCAGTATTAATACCTAGTCAAAATTTCAGCCAGTGTTTTTAGCTTACTACAAGTCCCATGTATTTTTACAGATTGAAGAAAATTCAGGAGAAGAAGAAGAAATTACGAAAAGAAGCTGAAGAATTGAAAATTAAATTACGAGAAGAAGGAATAGCCCTCCAGGAGGCAGATAATATACTGGAGGGTGATCGTGATGAAGATTTATTATTTAACTAGCAATAATAAATGGGGGGTACTACACAACTATAAACATCATTCCATGTATGAAAAAAAGGAAAAGCTTTCTCCTTGTTTGGAGTGACATGTGCTAGTGCTAGAATTTTCAAATATTCAGTTATAATTCAGTATAATCAAGACTGTAGAAAAGATTTAGTGATGGAAAATTGTAAGACTGGGGATCTGTGGAACAAGTAATTAAACTAGATTTGTTGCATGTAGGAGGGAGATCTTGCCCCAGGCCATATGACAAACATATACATGTATTGAGAACTTTTTATAAACTAGCATGTAACAACAGTTTCAAGAACGTTTCTTGTTGTGTTATCACATAATTTTGGATGGGGGTTACTTTGTACAACATAGTATTAATCAGCAAATGGTCATTGCTTTGTTGTTTTGATATGATTGTTTTTTTCTTTGGAAAAATGTTTTTTCTTTGAAAAAGCAAAATCAGAAAGTACAGTTTTGCTACATTCAACATGACAGTTCAGTATGAATTATCATGTTCATTAGTTACTGTTGCAAGTTTCATTTCTTTACATCTCAACTACTTTGAAAAACATTACTTGCATTGAACAAGTATGTTCTGACTTGTATTATTTTCTGTTTTTCTTTTCCTTATGCAAACAATGTAGGATTTTTAATCATGATGGTGATGGAGGTTAACTCATTTTTAATGAGTTTCTAATTTAAGATTTCTTTGTTTATAACAGAAAAGCTTACTTTCACCATTGAAATCCATCAATCGTGATGATGTCTGAGAAAATGTATGTTTGTGAAAATCAGTATCTATTTTAATCCATGAACTAAAATGTATGAGGAAAGGTTCCATGGACCCATATTATAAATGAGGAAAGGTTCCATGGACCATGGTGATGTATGAGGAATGGTTCCATAGACCATGATGATGTATGAGGAAAGGTTCCATGGACTGTGATGGTGTATGAGGAAAGGTTCCATGGACTGTGATGGTGTATGAGGAAAGGTCCCATGGACCATGATGTATGAAAAAGGTTTCATGGACCATGATGATGTATGACTGTGTAAGTGAATATCTAGTCTATTGTGTAGCCAACTAGGGTATTTCCATGTAAACTTGCACAAAACGTTTGTTTGTAATCAGTTATAAAATTAAAAATTTTCGTCTGCATGTAGCATTGTTTACCTTAAATTCCATAGAAATATACATATAGAAGATAACATACAGTAGGGAAAAAAGAACATTTTTGTTTAGTATTGAGATGTTTGTACAACAATGAATAATTTGTAATGATTGTATATAGAAATTAATTTTATTAATATATGCTGTGATTTATACATGTACATGTTTATCTAGTGCAAATATATGTCTGTGAAAATAATATTAAATATTGGTAATGTATAGAAATGTTTGTTGAAAGATTTCTTTATACTCCTATTAGCTCGACTATACGAAGAATATGAGAGCTATTGTAGTCGCACCAGCGTCGGCGTCTGCGTTGGTTAATTTTTTTTGTAAATTCAAATATCTCAATTATTGCTTGAGATATTCAATTGAAACTTACAATACTTATTTATAGTAACAATGTTCATCAGATTGACAAGTTGGATAACTCTGCCTACAATATTGACAGAATTATGCCCCTTTTTAACTTAGAAATTTTGGTTAAAGTTTTTTGTAAAGTCAAATATCTCAATTATTGCTTGAGATATTCAATTGAAACTTACAATACTTATTTATAGTAACAATGTACATCAGATTGACAAGTAGGATAACTCTGCCTATAATTTTTACAGAATTATGCCTCTTTATAACTTAGAAATTTTGGTTAAGGTTTTTTTGTAAAGTCAAATATCTCAATTATTGCTTGAGATATTCAATTGAAATTTACAATACTTTTAATAGTAACAATCAGTTTGCAAAATTGCATAACTCTGCCTGTAATATTTGCAGAATTATTTGCCCCTTTGAAACTTAGAAATTATGGTTAAAGGTTAAAGGTCTTCAAAGATATTTACTTTACACATGTACTTAGGGTCTTAATTGGAGAGTCATAATTGTATGTCACTGACCAAGTTCCATAACTCTACTCGCATTTAGGCTGATTCATCTCCCCTTTTCTACTTAGTCTCTTGGATAATGTTTACATGCAAGTTTTACATATCTCAATAACTATTAAAGATATTTATTTAAAACTTCACATATGCATTTAGAATCATAATTGTAGGTCACTGACCAAGATCCATAATTCTATCTTGCATTTAGGCTGATTTTTCTCTCTAATTAGAAATTAATGGTAAAGTTTTGCTTGTAAGCTGTTACCTCCATAACTACTGAAGAGTTTGTGCATTTTTTGGGACATTTTTATGCATTCATAATAATAAAGCCGTGATTTACTTGATAAAACATCTTAATAACAAGCCTTTGTACCTTTTCAGTCAATTTTATGTATTCATAGGTAATTAGCATTATTATACTCAATAAAATACCGTTGTGACAATTTTTGAATAGTCGAGCCAATACTGTCCTCCGACAGTTCTTGTTTTATATTGTTATAAATAAGGACTAAGAGATTTCCCTTAAGAACTAGTAAATAATATTTAAGATTATAAATGTATTCTCATATTTGACCTGGAACATTAAAATTCATCTAATAAAGGGACTGTAAACCATTTATGTTCTTTACTTACAGGATGTTAATATAAGTTACAAGAACTTTTTCATAATCCAGTAAAGATAAATTGTGTTTTATATAAATGAAATTCATTTATTGATGCGACTTGAAACATTTTCATATAGTAATTTCTGTGAAACAGTTTCTTCTTATATCAATATGTAGAAAAGGAAAAATATAAAATTCAATATATTGCATAAATGTAATTTCTTGAACATACACATTTCCATGACACCATGTAGAAATTTTAATCAGTTTACACATTTGTTTTTAATAGCATAACACATACTACAAAAAGAACTCTAGTGAACAATTGTTATATAATTTTATTAATGGGTACTACCAGTAAATAAAACACTTTGTATAGCCATGCAGTCTTGTAAAATTGAACACATATGTATATATAGAATCTACATTTGTAAATTAAATAATATAATTCAACATATTAATATTTTTCGGTTTTCATATAGTCATATAAACCACTATCTACACATTGCCACACTGTGTTACATCTTGTTTTATTTAACCAAAGATCCACTCAGATCTTATTCCCATGAACTTCCACATATTGTACACCACATCAGTCATCCTGAAATATACCACAATCAAATCATATACATTCATGGGAACATCTTCATTTATATGTCCTAAAATAAATATTACTATAAAAGATGAGCACTTCGAAAAAATCCTCAACATATGCTTCATATAAGTACATGTCACCACGGACCTAAATTACATGTAATATAAATACGTTATATCACACTGTATATGGTTTTCTTTTCATTTTTGTTTCATAAAAGTAAATACATATTAGCAATTTTTACGTTAACGTATTTTTTACATCAATTTTATATCTTCATTTAAAAGAAAATGATATCAGAGACTTTAATAACAAATATAGCTCTGTGGTGAAATGTATGCTTATTTTTTATCACAAAGAACAATAAGGTTGTCATGACAATAAGTCTCACCCATTCATCTTCATCAACCCCCTCGTTCTCCTTGCTAGTTGGTACATTTGATTTCAGATCCATTATTTTGTCTGTCCATGATGCTCCGACAGATTCCCCGCCGGCATAGTTAGAGACGGAAGATGAGACATTATCTAACTTAGATATACTGACTGAAACAATACAGAAATTCTATTTTAGTAAACCTCTCATAGTACACACGTTCACAATTGGCACAATAGTTTACCCCCTGTGACCGCGCGTTATAATTGCTATGATAGTTTCATAGGTGACCACACATATATTTACCCATGTGATCGCATCTAAATATTGATAATACCTGCACTCCAGCTACCGCACTGTGCATGTATATGTATACGATTTAACTCTTACACATTTTCAACAGAAAGGTCCCCAAACTATGATACAATTATTATTACGATAGTGTCACCGCGTCTAGTAATTGATATGATAGGGTCAGCTATGTAACCATCAAGATACAACCACCAAGTAACCGCGCCATGTGATTTTGTCTACAATACCAAATATATAGTTAATCTCGCAGTCCAAAATTTTTTTCCACGTATATCATTTCAATATTTACTTCTTGTTTTGTCATTGCAATGATACCTTCTTTTAAAATTGTTTGTGTCAGGAACGCTTGCTAAATAAAGACGGTACATACACACAAAAGGGCCATCTCCTTTTGTTTTTACTCTCACTTGATCACCACATTCGAATTCCAAACCTCCGATCTTTTCTTCATGTAGCCAAACTGCAGCTAAATCAGGTGATCCATATTTGTCTGTGTGTTTGGTGAGCTCTGGTTTATTTATTATATTGAGTGTCTGTGAGATGTCAAGTAAATCAGTCTCTCCTCTAGCTTCCACTTCTATATGTACAGAAAACAAAACTTTATTCTTTACTAAATGGTCCCTGAAATAATAACTTGTCACAAGAAAATTTTAAGAGCTCAGTTAAGTATTTTATAAAGTCTGGTTGAACATCAAAGTGATTGTTATATTAACAAGAAAACAGTATTTGTTTCTCATAACTATCTTCTCCTTTAGATTTGATAAAAGAGATGGCATTACATGGATGTTAATATGTATAATAATTCATTTGTTATAAACTAAAAGCTTAAAAAACATTGAAATCAAGAAACGCTAGTAACGGTATTTGTTAACTTATTCTAAATAATCTTACTATATGAGGAATTCAAATATCCTGTATTAACTTTTTTTGTCTCACTAAAGTTGGGTTCTACTTCAGTCCCATTGTTGTCAAATTTACGTTTATGTGCTCGTGCAATCTTCATATAAAATATGTAATACTGAACCTGAAAATTACAAATACATGTATATAAAAAATTGCGTTTAATATATAACTAATTGCGATAAATACTAGTACGTATTACTGGCATGCATTTCACATTCTATCTATAAATTACCGTACAATATTGGAATTTGTTTTGGTAAAAAGGCTGTTCTGAAATGGCATTTCATTCTTATAATTTCTTTACAAAATCTTTAAATTGTTCTTCTGGACAGTCGATTCATAAATAGCTGGGTAACATCAAAAAGCACGCAAACCTAGAAAACAGACAATATCATGTAACAGCCATATATATTACAAGATTTCTACTATCATACCTTTGTTTTTTTACAATCACAAATCTGGAAATGTGCTCGTTTTTGAATACATCCCTCAAACAACACACCATTACCACTGAAAATATAAACATATTGTATGCTACACGAATATCTACTGATGATATAAATTAATTAAACTTTAGATAATAATAATCCGTAATTACGCTGATGATTTTTGATAGCACATATGTTCCTTGCCAAAATATACATGTATAAACCTTAGCAAGCACGTTTGTAACATCAATTCCATGTATTTATATATACACGGCTGCTGCAAAGTAATTAATTATTTTCTTTTTTTAATCAAAGAAAGCAATGAAAGTCGACACAAAGATGTTTTTAGGTTATACAGCCGTGTATTTTACCATACTATATATCGTTAATACTGCGCCGTATACTTTGATAAGAACTATCCTTTTTGCTACAAACTGTATTGACCGTATTGACTTAAGTTCACATGTATATCCACTAATTGAAACAGTATCAAACGCATTTTGTGTTTATATTTTAGGCATAATTTAATCAAGATCAATAAACGTATTGTTTTTGCTTTGTTGTTATGGCTGCTGTTGTTGATATTTTTTGTTGTTCACAAAAGATTACATTATCGTTGCCTACCTTTCGTGTTTTCTGCTATTCCATTCTTCACTCACGTTGATATTTACTAATGGCAAATTTGACAATGGTTGATTATCATAAATACGACTCATATCGTTTAATCTTTTGTTCACTGTTGTTGTTTTGATGTAACCTAATTGTGACTATTCCAACCCGGAAATAAACATTGACATTAAAGGATAGTTCTTCACATTTGTGTACAATAACGAGGAAGTTTTTTTCTTCATGTGATAGGATAAGTTTACAACAATCTTTGAAATGTAAACAAAAACAATGTCAACTTTTCTAACTTCGTGTATACATGCATGTACGTAGCGAACAATAGTTGAAAAATACATGTACTGTACTGTATACGTATATATTTTTTGAATTTGTTAAGGCCTTTCTGTAAACTACATTTTTCAATATCTAAGCGATTAAATATCTCTGGAATGTGATGAGCGAAGTTCCGCATTCTCTGAAATTATTTTTTGTAGGACATGTATCTCAATGATTTCTACAAAAGTGTGTGTAATCCCATATGATCTTGACAAGGATATGCACTGTACTTTATATTTCTTTCATTTCAAACAATTTGCCATCACTTTATAATTTCTGGTAAATTGAGGAAAATATTTTTTTAAGTTAAACGATTTTGTTACATGTCATACAATATTTTTCCATCATAAATTTACATGTATATAGATCTAATATGTGAACTTATGATTGATTGTTGTCCAAACACAAGCTTGGTTAGACAAGTATGAGGTTAACCTAGGTCAGGGGCATGTCCTTTACCATAGCCAAGAAATTTGAGCCTCGTCACGACAAAACCAACGTAATGCGTTTGCCACCAGCTTGGATCCAGACCAGCCTGCGCATCCGCGCAGACTGATCAGGATCCATGCTGTCCGCTATCACTTTCTCTACTTGTAATAGGGTTTGCAAGCGAACAGCATGGATGCTGATCAGACTGCGCGGATGCTCAGGCTGGTCTGGATCCATGCTGGTCGCAAACGCATTGCGTTTGTTTTGTCGTAACGCGGCTCATTTATATTTTCTACAGTGAATCTTTCAATGGAGGAATGTTACTGTTATATTTGTTGATACAAATGATTTATGGGTTTTCGTCCAGTCTTTGTGCAAAAGGGATTTATCCTTAAATTACTTTAAAGTTCACAAAAAAGTTTGACTTTGCCTCCGGTATGAATAAATAGAGGATATTGAATGAGTGTAAGTTTAATACTGAATTTATTAAACGAGTTGAATTAAAATATACTATGGCGAGCATAATATCACTTAATTCAACAAGTTCAATAAATTCAGTAATGAACTAACAAGAATTTAAACATTCTATTTACCACATACCAAAAATAAAGACCGTTTGAAGCGGATATTATCCAACACACATCTGTTGGTCGTACTATTATTATTTTGTTAGGGGTTTTATTTTTAACGGACGTTTATCTTATTGATTATCATTATTGATATTATGTGTTAATAAGTACATTAAACCATTTCCCTAGGATAATTTGATATCATTTCGTAATCACTAGGATCAGGTTCATAAACACGGAGTACTATTCTCACTGAGCGTATATTTTAATAACTTTGTTCAGTTTTTAAGACATTTCTAAAAAGGTTTATTGAAGGTCATAAACGATTTAAATGCTGCAGGTTTTTGATTCAGTCTGTTCATAAAAGGCAGTCCCACACCTAGCAGCAGCTTTCAAAGAAAAACTCAACTTTGCTTATAAAGAATGCAGAAACAACTTGTCTGACATAGAACAAAAGTGTGCAGGACTAACTTACATTTAGATGGAAATTTTAAAAGAATATTAAAGCTTATGAAGCCTTATATCAAAAAGAGCGGCCCGGGGCCATACTCGTCGTAAACTAGCTAAAAGTGAAACCAGTGGAATTTTTAGTATACATACGATAAAAATAAAAGTGAAACTTGTATAAACACACGGTGCAAACAAAATATTAAACATAAAAATAAATAAGATACTATTTATTTTACGCGCGTTTCTCCGTAATTCATTAAGCGGGCCCTATACTCTGCCGTTTTATAAATCAAACCAGGATGAATGGACACTTTTTAGAACTACACAAACAGAACAAAACTGTTGAATGAGGCCATAACATAACGAAATGACATGCTTATCATCTGATTGAACGGCAGACGTATTTGCATGTATGGCTTCTATATTGAATAATTGCACACTACGTATATATACTCATGAATTATTTATGAAAAGGTTACTCAAATATCGTATTTTTTCAGTTGTCTGATAGTAAATTTCGGACAGAAAGCAGTTCACAGGACAAAACATTAAAGTCAAGAAAGACAAAACGTGTTTGTTACCAAGGGTCGTTATACCCTTAGCAACTGAATGAATTTGTTTACAACAATCAATCAACCAAAATCAATGTCCGCTTTAATTAGTATATCCGATCTATTTTATAATTTCAGGGTTCTTCCTTCTTCCGTCTGTCCATGATTGTCGTCATTTCACCAAATATTTGCTGACCATTTCCTTATTTTTAATAATTTGATGATACAAAGATAATTTCTGTACCATTTAGTAAATAAACGGCACCCACTGTGATCTTAAATTGATATAAATGAACGTAGCATTGCATTCTTTATGTTAAACAAAAATAGTGGGTAATATTCTCAAAAACAATCTTAGATAAAAATTGTTAAAATGGAGAATATGAAGGAGATGTCGGGATATATTGAAGATCTAAATGAGAAGGCAGCTGTACCTTACATAGGGAGTGTTGTGTTAATTGTACTTATTATAATTGTTGGAGTGGTTGGAAACTTGCACGTTTTTCTCGTGTATTTATTGAGAATGAAACCGTCAACACATAGAATTTTCATTTTGTTCATTGCAGTGGTTGACTTTTTGTCATGTGTTATTGCAATGCCGTTTATAATACATGATTTACGGAATCCTCTCACATATTACGCTCAAATGACGTGTAAGTTCCTGAAGTTCATGCTCTACTCCACATGCTGCTCATCAGCGCTTACACTTCTGGTTATAGCCATTGACAGGTTTGAAAAGTTTTTAATTATTTCAGAATTCAAACACCAGAATGTGCCTATTTCAGTATCTCATGATGTTTATTGGAAACAATAAGCAAACGTGTAATGTTTTTCTTAACTAAATCGGTATTTGATTGTAAGCTCTTTAATTTTCTTTTAAACATATCAATATAAATCAATGCTTACTATGTTGATTAGCTAAATATTTTAAAACTAATTAGTAAAACCTTAATTATGATTACCTTATTATAAATTTCTGGAAACAAACGTGATCATTTCCTTATTAAATATTTCAGATACAGGAAGATATGTAAACCGTTTGGTCGACAGGTAACTCCAAAAATTGCTAAAATACTGTGTATCATCGTCATCACAGTAGCTTTGTTAATTTCATGGCCAGCATTTATACTGAACGAGGTGGTCACTGTAGACACCAGTCATCCAGACGTCTATGGGTCTAAATGTGCTACCGACCACAAGGAACAATTTGGATCATTTTCACAATTTTTCAGCTCAACGCTTATAACTGTTTCAACAACATCCCTTCTTATCTTGTCTTTTGTATACGTTTTGATTTGGCGCGAAGTTTCAAAGCACAATCTGAACCAAAAAGACAGCAAGCGCATTTTGCCTGGAGCTATTTCAGTACTGAATGTAACTACTACTGGGTTCAGTACCACGGAAATACCACGCCATAACAGCCTACTCAGGAAAGCCAGTAAAGTGAGCAGACTGAAAGATGACGACACAAGTAATGATAATAGTGAATTGAGTAACAATAATGACGCAGATGCCATCAGTGTTATCAATATGTCGAAAAATGAAACACTTCAAAGGCAGACAAAGAAAAAAGCAAAGAGCTACAATAGAGCGAAAAAGAAGACATTGATATTCCTAGTAGTTACTGTTGTGTTCTTTCTCGGTTATATGTTACACTTTACTTTAAAAAAGATAAAGTCAACACATGAAGGCTTTGTTGAAAGCCTTTCCCTTGAAGAACAGATAGTTTTTAACACATTCTTCTGGCTTTTCCTCATCAATCACTCAGCTAACTGTTTTATATACGGATTCCTTGACGAACGGTTTAGATTTGAATTGCGTAGGATGTACAAACAATTGTTTTGTCAACCAAAATGTACAAGAGTGGAAGAAACTGTTGTGTGAAATGACAATGAGATGCCTCTGTGTCAAATCATCATCATTACATTGTTTGACAATGTCTACTTTTTGTAGTCCCACGTGATGAACATCATTGTATAAAAAAGTATATGGTACACACACATTCTTACAGTGTCATACAGTTTCACATGACTATTGTTATAGATTCTATTTATAATTAAATGATATATAACGTTATCAAACGGAAATTTTAAGTTATTATTCCCAGCAGATATTGTATTATTGGCGTCCGCGCCGAAGCGCGGCGCCTATTGGAATGAAATGAGATTTTGTGAAAGGGCGACAGCAACTTCTCGAGCCTTTTATAGTTGCCAATAATAAAAGCCGATCATTCCGATCGGTATGAGGGTGCTTGATTGTTAATTAGTCGCGATATGTACAATGAATGGCGAACTGGAGAATTTCGCAATGCAAACATTTTCAAATGAAATAACCTTTTCCGTCAATAAATCGCGCTCTTCGGGGTATTTTTGCTTATCATTTTGTAGTACACAGTGGGTTATTATGGTATGTTATTCCGAAAGCTGTTAATAGAATGATGAGTTGATGACCTTAATATTCCGAAAATCTATTTATAGAGGGATGTACTCCTAGGTAATTCCCGGTCTCTCCCGGGATTTACTAATGACCGGCGAATAGTACCACACGTTTATTGTCCGGTCTCTCCCGGTTTTGGAGTAGATATCGTTACAGAACAGAACAAATATTTTACAGATAAATAAGCTTTTTTTTCAAAATGAATGTTTGTCACTTAGTTTGGTTACAATAATTAATAAACACAGATCAACTCTCGAATTGATTGATTATTATTATACATAAACATACAGTTCGAAAAAAGAACCAACAACACAAATCGCATGTTATATTTTATCTATATGAGATAAAAACAATAAATATGTACAATAATTGAGAAAAAATGTACATTTTTATGGCATTAATATGACACTATCAACTTTAAAACATTTTATATAATTTGTTATTCGTGTTTAGTAAAGATTCCGAGGAATTATTCAAAGTTACAAATCAGATTTTATGAATTATTCAATTGATTGATAATTTAAAAAATGATAAAGAAAAATACAAATGTACATGTATATGGTTTAAGAATAAACAATATTATAAATTGAAAGATTAACCATGATTTACTGACTTTTTCCAGTTAAGTTTTGACTTATAATCGTCGATCATTATGACAATTGAATTCTTAAAATAGTAGTAAACGTAAAAACTCAGTATTAAAATAGCGCATAAAACACACACAAAAAAGAAAAGAAAACAATATTCATAAAATCTGTATTTTTTTTTATTAAAATAGAAATTACATTTATTGTATAATAAACAATTATGCTCAACATGATCAACATGGTAATATAACAAGTGCCATATTGTTACTTAGTGTGAACAGATACCTTAAGAGGGGGTCCTCGTTAATAGCAATAACATAATAAGGGACAATTACACAAGTATGGTGTTGATCATGCGTTACACATATGGATTATAAATGATTGTATACATGTATATCCGTTGCTATTAATAACCACGATCATAAAGAAATAACAAGTAATATTCTAATTTCTAGCATGCCGATCAAAGTTATAAATAATGAACAATGTCTTTCGTCCGTTCATTCAAAAGTGATATACAATTCTGGTAAAACCCAATGAACCATTGAAAAGTTTATAAGAATATCTTGTCATCATATATCTACTAGTTCATCTGCACCTGCTGTTTGGACGCCCTTTGATGCTTTGCATCAATGCTTTTCTTGTTATTATTGTAAGTGTTTTTGATGATATTGGCCATACAATTTTTCATTAATGAGGACTATTATGCTATTTGCGATATTTTCTTCCTCGTTCTTTATAAGAACCTATCAGAAACATAGCACTTGAAAAAAGGATGGGACTTTATATTGCGACTTAATAAACCGTCAAAGCGTATATAATTGCTGTCTTGAGAATTAAGCTTTAAATTAATGCCGAATATTGTGAGAATATATGCATAGTTTTGTTCACGTGTTCATATGCATTATCAATAATGAGTTTATAAAGGTTTTTAAAAAGTGTTTTTTATCAAATACGTAGTAAAATAATACTTAAACACAGATTTTTTATAATAAATTAACACGGAAGTTTAGAACCTAGTAAGGTGTACTCACCAACTGGCGTATTTACGACTTAAAATGTTTTTCTCACGATTCAGTACATTTTAGCTGTCTTAACCACAACTTCATATTTTGTTTTTTACAATTGTTATTATTATAGAAACGAAACGCAGAATGGATGAATTTAATGGTACAATTGATGAATTAAATCACGAAGAAGCGAAGCAATACATAGGTGGTGTTGTGTTTGTTTCTATTATCATGGTTTTTGGTTTTGTTGGAAATTTGCACGTTCTTCTCGTGTATGCATTTCGTATTAAACCATCCAATCATAGGATATTTATTCTGGTACTGGGAGCACTGGACTTTACAACTTGCATTGTTGGAATGCCATTCATTATTGTTGATCTTAGAAATCCACTGACGTTCACGATGTCATCCGCTTGTAAAATTCTCCGATTTATAAATTACTTCATTTGCTCGGCGTCTGCTCTTACACTTCTAGTAATTGCTACTGACAGGTAAGTCACTTTGAAGCATACGTTATTAGTTTATCATGTACTCAATCTGATCACTAAACATAAAGAAGATCATCATTTAATCTGATAACTTCTTTATGTACGCATTCATATCTAATTTCTTCTTTATGTAAAATATGACCTAAAGCGATCTTATTAACGTCAAAACACTTGTACAACACAACATCATGTGTATAACCTTGAACAATCTTCAAATTTACATAAAATATTTAAATTGTTTCTAAAATTGTATTATGTATATAAATGTACTCACAACATTATAATCCTACTACTGAACGCTGGCTATTTCACATTTTAGTGATCTCATGATCTGTTTAAATCATATTTGATGGGGCTCTTTCACACCCCCGTTGTTGCACCGTGTCGATGGCATCTGAATAAAAGTTAATATTTTAATTTCAACAAAGTTTTTAAATGTTTTTTTGTGTGTTTGGACAAAGGGGTTAGGATCGAGTTCCATGCCCGATAAAGTTGGCAAACATTTACTTTACGGTAAAGAAATCACTAAAGATGTATCTGAACGTAAAAAAACACACACAAGTTCATATTCAGTAAAAGTTCTAGAAACGTCATTTTGGATTATTTTGTATCGACGATGAAAGTGGAAAAGTATTCTTCGCTTTTTGAAGAAAAAAAAACCAAGCATATTTTATAAACACGGATATATGATATACATGGAACTGTGTTTACCTTTTTCAGCTTTGTTTCGGTCGAGGGCTCCACAACGGAAGTGTCGAGGGCTCTCATTTTAACATATCACTAAAATGTGAAAGTGCCACTGTTTAGTAGGTGGTGATTAGGTCTTGAGTGCCGTGTGGTTCCTATTAAATGTTGCCCCGCACTTCATCTATTTTGGTCATTTGGGACAATGCATTCAAATACTTTACATGCCGTTTTAGCAGGCACTAGGGGTGTAGGAAGTGTCACACTTTCAATTATCTCTCGTGAACAGACTCAATTAACTCAATTAAAATTTCAGCAGAGTGTTGAGTTTTTTTTATTTATTTAAATAAAATTACAATGGAAACATGCATATAGGTGCAATAAAACTAGAAAGATGTTATAAGATAGATAATCTTTATTATGCCCGATGTTTTAACTACACACGAAATACAAAAATACCAGGTGTTTGCTTCATTATGTTAAATGTACATTACTCAGTAAAATGAATTTCTTCCCGTGCGTTTTATCAGCATGATAACTACTTAAGCAAATTTAAAATGGAAAATAAAGTGTTTTTTTAAATATATATATGTTATCAGTATTTTGATCATTTTGAAAGGGCAATGCCCTATTAAGTTGAAACAGGAAGAGAAAGTAAGTCAAAAATTAAGTAAGTAAATATCGTGCCTGATACCAATAAGGTCGAGTACTCCTTTTAAACGGGGATTTCCTGCGCCGAGCGTAAACAAATATTTGTTATCTTTTCGTCTCATATTTTCTAACTTTTTTATGTAAAAAGCTATTTTATGATCTAAAAGCTATTTCAATATTAGAATTAAAAGTAAACAATGTCAAGAAAAAATATTAAAAGCAAAACAGGGAAGATTTATTCAAATTAATGTTTACAAATGAGCCCATAGATAAATATGTTTAACAGTGTCGAAAGAGTAAAACAAATCAATTTGAATAAATGTTTATTTGTTTTCATCCACAACGCTCAGTAGCAAATTTATTGTCGAACGTGCCATTACATGCATTTGACTACATTTGTTGTTTTACAAAAGGAGTCAGTATTTCACAAACTAAGATAATTTTAAATGCTTGTACATTGCATCTTGAATAAGTAAAACAACAATTGGACTGTTTCTGCTTTGTTATATGTAACTTAACACCATAACTGATTATATAAAACAAACATTTCTACATTTAAAAATAAAGGAACAAAGCTCAACAAAAAGGCAAGGAGACCTTCCCAGTAGACAGACCTCGACAAAACCCAGCAACACGGGACAACTTATAAAGTACCCAAACAGGGTACCGAACAAAATCTGGGAGAGGTCATAAGGTCATCATCATTATAAATGTCAGCAAATAGCTTTTATATGAAAGTATTCAACAATGATGAAAATAACTGTTCTGTACTAACTCTTTTCAATGTTATATTTTAGGTACCGAAAGATATGTGTTCCCTTAGGAGGACAAATTTCACGTCGGATGGCAAAACTATTGTGTTTACTTGTCACATGTATTGCTTTATTGATATCATGGCCGGCACCAGTATTGTACGGACCGGCAACAGTCCAAACGGTCAATCCAAACATCAATGGCACGAGGTGCTATACCGAAGACAAGGAAAATTTCGCAAAATATCAAGCTTATTTCAATAGTTTATTGATTCTTATAGTGATACTATGCTTCATTGTTCTTTCTGTGCTATATACCTTGATTTGGCGTGAAATAGTCAAACATAGTACACACAAACATCGTGTGATTATAGATCCACAAAATGACTCATCGTCTAATGTTCAGACCAGTGATACCATTGAACTGACTTCTAAATCGAATGAATCAACGGGCAGTCAATTACCAGAGAAGAAGGGAGGAAATCTCAGTCAAGAAAAGAAGATTTATGTAATTGAAAGCGACAGCGAAATGGGTAGCGGTGAACAAGTTAAGAAAAAATGTAAAGCCGCGAAGCCTTGTAAAACACAGAATCGTGATCGACAGGGCTCGGACCGGTCTAAAAAGACAACGTTTATGTTTCTGACAATAACGATTGTGTTTTTCATGAGCTATGTCCCACATCTTATCTTAAAAATTGTTACATTCTTGAACAAACAGTTTGTTCCTCAGATGTCTTTTACAGAAAAGGTAGTTTACAATACCTTCATATGGTGCTTTTTTATCAATAATATGGCGAACTGCTTTATTTATGGATTTTTTGACATAAGATTCAGAAGTGAATTGAAAGAAATGTACAGGAAACTATTTAGATGCAGGCGTTTTATGTACAAATGAATTGTATTTGCATCTGAGTTTTGCAATTTCTAATTTCTATACTTAGATACTTAGAATAGATCATGGAATCTTTTATATACTAAAACCCATTCAACTTGATGTCCGTTTTGTATTTTGTAATGATTTCTTTCAACAGTTTTGTTGCTGCTTTTTAAGCAATAATAGCGCTCATGTACCTTACTAAATCCTATGTCATGCTTTAAATGCTTCCTCGTGCTTCTGTACATACTTGTTTAGGATAAAAGGTGCATTTTAACCTTTATTGTATACCTCAACAAGGTGAGATACTAGTTTGCTTCATTAAAAAGAAGCAAGCTAGAGGGCTTTTTGCCGTTGTGGTTGATTTTTTTAATTGTTCAAATGGCGGGAAAGTTTACAAGAATTTCTGACAGGTCTAATTTCAACATATCGGCTATTTAATGGAATACTTTTATGTATACGTGTGATGAACACATGTATCATCACTGGATTTCACAGGAATACAGGCTAGGAATATCGTGTTTACTTTCAAGAGATGATAATTAGCTGTCAAAACATGATATCTTCTCTCAGAAAAGAGAAATAACATAATTATGTATTGTCAGGCAAACTGATTTTAATATTGATGGTTGTTCTTTTAGATTTATACATTTTTAGAATTACATGTATGAAGTTTTTAATGATTGTATATATTTTAAAGCTGCATACCTCCAGATGAGCCAACATATTTCAAGAAAATCAAACTTGAGGAAAATGTTCTAAGATTTTAAGGAAAGTAAAAAGATTCAATATTCAAGTAATTCTTTGCATTTTTTGTTCGATTAATGACTCATTTTGCAGTATTCATCATATTTTTACTGTGTAACCAACGCAGTAAGAGGTAGTTTTGCATATTTTGACTTCATTTTTGTAATTCACGAGAATTGTGAGTGCCGTTTGCAATGTGTAAATTATTTTCTTTGTTCACTTCACATAGTTGTACTTTTAAATATACATTTTCATGAACATAAGCATGAATCTGGAGGCATGCTGCTTTATGGTACAACCTTTTATTGTTTTAATGTTTTTACCGAGTTAATATGTCATACTCTATATTAAATATGTAGTAATATTTATGTTTTTTTTATATAAAATTACCTTCCTATAAAGTTCTAGCATAGCATAGGCAATGCAATATACGGTTTAAAGTAAATTTGTTTCAGCAATCAATTCGGGAAGACACCTTTGACCAAAATCCGTCCGAAACTTGTTTAATCATTATTAACATTATTATAACAAGTGACAATAAATTGTCACAAAACATGGTTTTTATTCAGGTTACCAAGCTACCTATTCTTGTTTTCTATTTTCATATTCATGTATCTGATCATATATAATTCTGAGTAATTTCTTAATCAAACATTTCCAATGTATAAAAACGACCCTTAATTGCTTGCCTCATGAAAGAAAGTATGGACCAGTAATTAACGTAAACCTAAATTTAATGTAGAGCTACTGTTAGAATATTTCTCTTTTTTTATTTTTCCTGAAATAGACAGTGATTACAGAGTATTCTCCCTTTCATATATACGTAAATGAATAAATGTGACCTTCACTTGATATGTAGTGTTCACATCATATATTTTGCAAAGTGATTTTATTTTCTTTCCATCGGTTCAAAAGATACAGATCAGACACTAAATTATGAAATTAATGTGTAATGATTTAGTGTGACCTTCACCTTGACCTTATACAAGAAATTCTGCGCCTTGTAATTCGTCACATTACGGTTAACATTTCAACCAAGTAGTTTCACATTCTTTCGATTCAGTGTACACTCAATTATTAACGGACGGACAACCAGGTGCATAACATTTTACATCGAATTCATACGGAAGTTTATTTAAATAATAACATGAATTTGGTTTTGAAAACGAGTTAAGCATATTTATCGCCATATTTGACAAGAAACCCATTTACTAAATTCCTTAAACATGTGCTACGTACGATTTGCCGCAAATATTTCAAAACTAATAATCAAAAGTAATATCGTGAATAAAAAACAAGAAAACATTAAACATTGGCTTAATCAAGAATACTACAAAAATTGTAATGACTATTTTCTAAGAATTCTTATAAACTCTCCTAGATTTATACAGAACATCAAGGAAACATCATTCAGATGTTTGTTTTTACATCTATGATTCATCTCAAACCGAAGTAAGAATCTCTAACCTTGGAAAATTCTGTTGACGAATAACAGGCAATTATTCGGAAATTGCTACAAGAAACTATTGTTTTACTAGTTAATAGTTAATTTGAAAAAAAAACCTTGATGGATGAAGTGAAACACTTTTTGAATTAATTCGCGACGAAGCTATCAAAGCATTACATAGGATTGGCGGTGTTGTCATCATGATTATTCGAAATTTGCATGTTGCTGTTCACGTGTATTTTCCATGTTAAAGCATACAACCATAGTAAGAATAGTTTATAATCGGGGTTAGAATTATTTTTATCCAGATTTAGAAAACATCAAGCTAAGAATAGTTTATATGTTATAAAATATAGGATTTTAGATGTCTGACAGAATTTTGTTTTATTTCACCCTTAGCTTTCTCGTATAGTGCACACGCAGACCATATGTCGCTTTTCATGGAATGGCACAAACGTGTCACATTGAACGTTCCATGTTAACCGCCAAATAAAAAACCTCTGCGGATTTTTCCAAATTCAAATTTGCGCCCTTGCCATGTTTAAATGTTGGATTCTGCTTGACCCGGTACTAGGGAGCGTGGACGATAGCCTGCAATTACCACTTACGTCCATGAGCAGGCTAAATCATACCGAGCCTGCAAAATTTTAAATATGCCGTTTTTTGGTGGTCTTTAATGATTCAGTCTTTCTCCGTTTCATCATTGCTTGTATTGTTAAAATTTGTGATATTTAGGTAAGGAATAGTTCACATTAAGACAGATCGTTATACTGATTTTGATAGATAAAATGGATAAAAAATATCTTAATCAATGCATGCAATAAAATATTCAGTTGATAGTACATATGTACTATGTAACATCATGGGATACGGCACCATTTGTTAAATATATTTCGAAGAGAAAATTGAAAATATTTTGTCATGACATTAATTAACGTTATTCCCCTGTGATTTTTAGGATGACATTCATCTGGCTTTTTAATTACGCCTTTATACTAAGTCCCCGGATAAATACCTGAATAAAAAATGTTGAAAATTGTTAGTAAATACGGTGCAATAAGGTGATCAGAGTAAAAATAAAATCAGTCTGATTGAAATCAGTTACTAAACAACTATGAAATATAAGAAGATCTGATTGTCATATTGTGAAAACATAAGCAATATTTTTATCATGACACAGCCTCCATGCCTATTTTGAACTACGAAATACTTAAAAAAACTCATCTAAAGCGAGAGTCAAATTGCATCACATCCTCAGACTCTAGTCTAAGCAAAATATTATAACAATAACTGTTGATTTCCAGTATTATTTAAATATAATCATGGCCTATTCAAGTGCGCATGCGTTGTGCAGATTAGCGGGAAAATTGAAACATTGATATTTGAATGTAGCATTATCCCATCAATTTGGCGTAAATCGATTATATTCCCGATTCTTAAGGATCCAAATACTGATAAACGAGTACCCTTACATTATAGAGGAATCAGTCTTTTGTCTTGCGTTAACAAATTATATACTGCGTTTATTAACAAACGTGTTTCTGGATACATGGAATCAAACAATCTTATGGCCGATGAACAGAATGGTTTCCGAAAAGGCAGGTCTTGTGAAGATCATATTTTTACACTAAATAGCATTATACGTAACAACAAAAACACATTCACTGCTTTTATAGACTTAAGAAAGTGCTTTGATTTTGTTGATAGAGACTTACTTTTGTATAAACTGTTACTTAACAATGTCGATGGGAGAGTTTATAATTCTATTAAAAACATATATGCTAGTGCATCGGCTTGTGTTCGCATAAATAATAGCGGATTACCAAATTCTTTCGTCCACACTGATTGGTTTGATTGTACCACTGGATTAAAGCAGGGGTGTACGCTGTCGCCGACGCTCTGGTCCGTGTTTGCAAATGACCTCATTCACGAAATTAATAGTCTTGGGCTTGGAATTAACGTTGGTTCTATGATGGTATCTACATTGTTCTACGCGGATGACATAGCGCTGATCTCAGACTCAGAAATAAATTTGCAGCATATGCTTGATGTTGTACATGAATGGTGCAAACGATGGCGCGTATTAGTAAATACTAATAAGTCCAAATGTGTCCATTTTCGTAGAGGACCTACACAGCGCAGTGAATTTATTTTCAGAGTTGGTGAAAATGTTCTAGAGACGTTGATCATTATAAATATCTGGGCATAGTTTTTGATGAGAAAATGAACTTTAATCTTAATAGTGAATCATTATCTAAATGTGCTGGAAGAGCTTTAGGGAGCATAATCTGTAAAATTCACAATCTGAAAGATACTGGAATTAACACATTTGAAAAACTGGTAGGCAGTTGTGTGAGTCCGATATTGGATTATGGCGCCTCCTCGTGGGGCTTCAGGTCGTACCAATGTGTTGACAATGTCTATCACCGCGCGCTAAAATACTTTTTTGGTGTACATAGATTTTCACCACTCGTAGCAATGTATGGAGACTCAGGATGGCTACCAAGTGTGTTCAGACAGAAACTGCCTATAATACGATTTTGGAACAGGTTGTTATCAATGCCGGATGATAGACTAACCAAAAAAGTGTTCTTATATGATTACGGTAAATGCAATACATGTGAAAATTGGTCTTCAAATATAAAAAAGATTTTTAGTGATCTTAATTTAGAACAGCACTTTACAGACTTAACAACAGTTAGTCTGTCTACTGCTAAAGATAAAATACGAGACCTGTACTGTAATAAATGGCAGACCGATTTGCAATCATGTAGGAAACTTCGTACATATAAACTGTTTAAAGATACATTTGATAAGGAAGATTATGTTTCACTTAATTTAAGAAAACATGAACGGTCATTTTTATGTCAGTTCAGATTTGGCATTTTACCTATACGTATTGAGACTGGGCGTTTCGTTGGAGATGCAGTGGAAGACAGAATTTATCGTTTTTGTGAAAGAAATGAAGTGGAGGATGAGACTCACTTTTTGTTATCATGTGATATTTATAAACACATAAGAAACGATATATTTGTTAATGTTGACTGTGTTCAGGAAATTAATATAACCCTTTCTGAAAAAGTACGTGTGTTGATGACTGATCACATAAGAAAGACAGCCAAATATATAATGAAAGCTTAGGGATTCTATTTTTCTCTATTTTACTTGTTTAGACGAAGTATACTTTACTCTTAAATTATGAAAATAATTTAGGTTTTGCATTTCAACAAAAATTATGTCTCACATAACTATTGTTTTTTTTGTTGTTTTTTTTTTGTTATACTAGTAAGTGCATACTTTCATATTTATAATTTGGTGTTGTTTTACCATAACCATTTCCCTCACGTTATCTGTCATATCATGTAAAGTTATATGATTAATGTTATTTATTATAAAAGGTGACTAATAGGTCCATTGGGCCGGGTGCATAACTCTTTGTTAAAATGTATTGTACTGTATAAATGTTCATTGCATATGTCACTATCATAAACAATTATCTATTAGCGACAAAAGTAAAATTATCAAGCACTTATTTTATTTCAGTATTCATCTCACAGATGGCACTTAAATCCTAGGTTTCCTATAAAGCGCACACAACATGAGAACAACAATGTAATTTGAGTATATGCAGTAAGCATAAATACCACATGTTACAGATAAACCACATAACATAACTTTTATAAATGAGAGTAAAATTGTTCTATGACATCACTGTCCTTTTCAAATACCTTAAAATAGATAAATACAGAATCCCTAAAGAAAGCCCAACACGGCAAAATTGAAAATGTTGCAGGCTCGGTTTGATTGAGCCTGTTCATGGACGGTACTGGAAAGTGCAAGTTACCGTCCACGCCCCCCTAGCACCGGCTTAAGCAGAATTCAACATTTAAATATGAAATAGTAAAATTTTGAATTTA